TGCACTTAGGTCAAGAGGCATTGGTCTCAGAGCTGGAGGGTGTCACACACAAGCAGAGCCCAGCAAATTCAGGCACATGTGCCCGCCCAGTTTAGCGGGAAAGGGTTGGGCCTGCTGGGTCATTCGTCTCACCCCTAGCACTCTCAAAGAGCTGCTCCCCACGTGAGAGCAGCTTGAGATCCACAAGCTGCCATCTTTGCTCACCTCTCCCCTGGCCGTCTCTGGAACACACAGGGTCCCGGTGAGTGCTGAGCAGAGGTCTACCTCCTTCCCAACAGACTGGTGCAGGGCCAAAGGGGCTCGCGCGCTGCTGTGAGCTGGCGGCCTTTGGGGGACTTCTACATGCCTCCAACAGGCTGCCTGTCCTCGGAGAAGCAGACATGTTGCCAGTGATGTAACCCCTGCATTCTAGGGAGCTGACGCAGTGTCACAAGCCCAGGCTGAGCAGCTTAGGGGCTTGGCAAGACCCTCTCTCAAAGTACAAACTGAAGAAGGACTAGGGATACAGCTCAGCGCAAAGGCCCTGGGATCAATCCCCAGTAACAAACGAAAAGCGGAAATTCCTGTAGACCCATCCCATTCGTCACTGGTTCATCCACTCCACGGGCAGCGGGGCCGATGGGGAGGGGAGAGAGAAGGGAAGAGTGAGGCGGAGGGATGAGCCCCTGGAGAGCAACGGCAGGAGCTGCTGACCTGCAGGGTGCTGGGCCTCCTGCTCAGTTCAGCGGGGAGCCGGGCCAGGGCAGCCAGCGAGGGCCTGGCCTTAGGGAGCAGGTTAAAGCCTTTCCTTGGCAAACACACTCTTTCACCCCGTCCACTCAGTGCACGTGGAGGGGATGACTCGGAGCCCGGCAGAGCTCCAGGCGCTGGGGAACGTGGCGGTGAGCGCATCTGTGGAGCTGCAAGGAGTGCCCAGACCAGGCGCCTGCCAAGAACAGACCAACAGGCTCGTGGGAAGAGCACCTGACCTCCAGCAGGGGTGAGTGGGGCCCCACTGCCAGGACCAGGAGGAGCAGACAGGCTTGCGAAGGTGGCTGGGGTTCCCTCGGGCACCCCGGCAGGGGAGCAGGCTCAGTGCAGGAGGCAGGAAGGGGAAGAGCAGCTGGCACACCCGGCTGGCGTCTGGGGCCACAGCAGAGAGAAGGTAACGGCTGAAGAGGGCCAGGCGCTGGGCTTCGCTCTGCAGCCCGGCAGACACTGAAGCTTCCAGGGCCGAACTTTGGCCTTTCGATCTGTCAGTCAGGTCCAAAAGGAGACCACAGGCTGGGAGGGCAGCTGGGAGGCTGGTGCGGCATTTGATGCCAAGGAGATTCCGAGGCTTTTGCAACCACACACGATCCAGCTGTCGCTGGCCTGAGCCCGCGGTGAGGCCGGGCTGAGAATTGCCTGCCTCGGTGAGCGCCTAGGTCTGTGGTGGGGGTGGGCCCTCTGGCCAGCTCGGGACGGGGGCCTCGGGAACAGAGGGGAAGCCATGAATAAGGATCAGGGAAATAAGAGGAAGGAGCCAGGGTGACCAGGAAAATGGAGATGTCGTCCACCCCGATTGATTGTAAGAGGCGAAGCAGCACCAGGCACAAAGATGAAGGAGGGCTGGTGGGGCCAGGATACCTCCAGGCGGCTCTTCCACAAGAGGAAGGGGGAACCCAGACACTCAGACTGGGGAACCTCTGTCCTGGAAGCTGCTTTAGGCCTGGTCTCCCCTGCGGGCACAGGGAAGGCTGGGCCAGCGGAAGACGCCTGGGCCAAGGCAAAATAGGCCCCGAGATGGGGTAGGCAGGCTGGCCAGCCTCAGGGGGCTGAACCTCACCCCGGCGGCCAGAAGCTGGAGCAGGAGGTGGGAAAACCTCCCGGGAGCCCACAAGCGGCAGGTTGGTTGAGCCTGGCCTCCCTGAGGAGGGCCCGTGGAGGCAGACGGCCAGCGTGCTGGGGCGGAGTCACACGTCCCCTTTCTCTGCTCTGTGCTCCTGGTGCTTCGCTCCTCACTGGGCCAGAGCTCCGGGGCTTCCTCGGCCCTCTAGCCGTCCCTTCCTCATCCTGATTGTTCCCCACTGGGAGCTGCTAAGGCCTACGCCCGCCTCAGCTGAAGCCTGGCCCAGCGGGTTTTGTCCAGTTCTCCTGGGGCCTGTCACACTGCATGCATCACCAGCATCACCAGGAGCCTGGCAGGAGCAAGAAAGCGGGACCTCAGGGAGAATCAGAGGCAAGGGAGGGTGTTCCGGGGCAAGGCCCACGTGAGGGGCGGAAACCTCATGTGCAAGAAGAAACCCAAGCCCGGCGTGATGGCGCACACCTGCAATCCCAGCACTCAGGAGGCTGAGGCAGGAGCATCGCCACCAGTTCGAGGTCAGCCTGGGCTCCACAGTGAGTTCAAGACCAGCCTGAACTGCATAGCGAGACCCTGTCTCCAAAAAGAAACACACAAAACATCAAAGCTGAACCACAAAAACATCCTCGCCATCCGGGAGCAGCACCTGAGGATGCAGACACAGGGGTCCCTCTTTCTCTCCCTCCCTAAGCACTCCCACGAGACCCCACACACCACGTGTCGTTCTGTGAGCGACTTTGAGAACTCCTCTATGCCCCCAACTTCTAGAGGTTCGCTTTCAGGGTCAGGGGGGCCCTCAGGAGGCAGAGCACCTACAGGGTCCTGAGAACCCCGACAGGCCTCAGCTCTGGGGCGCTGAGGGAGGGAAGGGTGTGGGCAGCCGTGTGTAGCCAAGGAGTGCGTCCAAGACTGGGCAGCCCTGCCTCTGTCCCGGCGGCGGCTTGGCCAGCTGTTTCTGTGGGGAGTCAAGGGGCACCGGGGAGGGAGAGGCAGGACCTGGGCTGGCATGTTGCCGCTACGGCCCTCCACAGCGCCTGGCCTGGCCTGGCCTGAGGCTCCCCGGTCTGATAAGATGTGACAAGATGGCCTGAAAAATGTTAGAACCTGTGAACTACTTAAACCTATTTTTTGCTGGGTTGTGAGCACGAAGGTCCCCCACTGCATTTCACAGGAAGTGGGGGGGCGCAGGGGGGTCGTTGGTCTGAGTGGAGGGGGAGGGGAGCTGTCTCTTTTGGCCAACTGGGGGGAGGGCCTGGACCAGCATCGCGGGCTCAGGAGAGGGATAAGGAAGGTGGGAACCGAGGGAAGGAGAAGGAGAAGGAGAGTCCAGAGATGTGAGGGGAAGAAGGCCGGGAAAAGGCAGAGGGAGAGCGCCTACGTCCCGGCCGGCCCAGCGGCTCCCCCTGGTCCTCCAGCAGGACCGGGCAGCTCCTGAGGACACCAAGAGCTTCACCCAGAAAGACTAAGATGGGGCAGGGAAGGGCCTGAGCCCAGCACATTCTGGAAGGGCTGAAGGGTCCGCATGAGGGGCTTCCAACCGGACTCACACAGGTGGCCCGAGAGTTACCCAGACGGAGCGCCAGAGTCGTGGGGGATGGCTCCGCGGAGCGCAGGCCAAGGAGAGCTGGGCCTGCTGCTCCCAGCCGGTCACAGCTGAGCCTACTCGTCCCCCACCCTTTAGGCCCGCGCCTTCAGAGCTGCCTCCAGATGCGCCCGGTTAGGCTGCCGCAGGGGCACCCGAGGCTCAGAGACTCCCGTGGGACCACAACATTCCCGCCTGCTAGTGTCAGAGACGCTCATAGCTCTCTCCAAACGGGCCCGGCATACTAAAGGAGAGATACGGGCATTCCAGGAACCCAGGTGGAAGAAAGAGAGAGAGGAAGGAAGGAAGAAAGGAAGGAAGGAAGGAAGGAAGGAAGGAAGGAAGGAAGGAAGGAAGGAAGGAAGGAAGAAGGAAAGAAGGAAGGAAGAGAAGGAGGGAGGAAGGACAGGAGGGAGGAAAAGAGAGAGAGAGAGAGAGAGGGAGGGAGGGAGGCAGGACCAGGTGTCTCTGGAGCGCTCCTTAGGTACAAGGCAGACGTGCAATAAAAGGCTGTTTGGTAGAAGTCTTTGCCTGAGCAGATTCTCTTGCTGGCCTCTGGCTGGCTGGGAGCAGGTGCATGGGCCTAGGAGGGACCTGGAAGGGCACCGGACGCCTTCCGCCTTCCACCATTCCCATAGTATCAAGTCACAGGACGACAAGGCTGGGGGGAACTCAGACCTCAGGCAGTCTGGTTTCTTGGGGAAAGCGAGGCCTGCAGAAGTGATGTCACTTCCTCTGTGTTTCCCGACTGGTTAGAGGCAGTCCGGGGAGGTCAGCCCTGGCCGCTGACTCCCAGCGAGAGCTCTGTCTCCTGTACACCCCACAAATCCTTCTCAAAGCCTCCCAGACTGCCGTCCAAGAGCTGCGGCTTCATTCAGTACCCACAGATTACCCAACAGGATACAAGAGCTGTGTGTCCCCCAACCAGGGCTGGTACCACGGCCAGGGGCACAGCGTGAGAAGTCTCATTTGCTGGGGGAACTAAGCAATGCAGTGCCGCTTAAGGAGGCCTGGGAGAGGGCTTTCAGAGGGGTGATGTTTGACCTAGGCTTTGAAGTCGAGTTCAGTTTGGGTACCTTTTTCTCCAGGAGCTCTGCCATTTGTTTCTTTGCCTGCTTCTCTGCCAATCTAAATTCTAATTTAAAACAGGTCTGCATCTTTAGCCCACTTTAACCTTATAACACCTCTTCCCTTCCTGACCTTCCCGGTCTGGGGGGCGGGATTTATCTCTCATTTTACAAGTGGGGAAGTAAGAGTCTGACCGGGCCAGGTTGCTTGCTCCGAGAAGCCAATTCTGCTGGCTCCCAGGCCAGGGTTTCGCTGGTCCCCACACCACTTCCCCTTTGAAGGCCGGTTCTGGTAAAACAAGAGAGCCTGCTCCACTGTCACTTCCCACTTTTCACTCTTATTTGCCCCTCAAGCTGTTAAATTTAAAATCCCAGCTTTCTACCTCCACCTTAAACTTCCCTCTGGCCATTCCCCCAGCTCTTACACATACCTCAGGGGAACATTAAACACATTCAGTTGAATCCTCCATGTCTCTATTTCTCCACTACAGATGAGACTTTTGACAGGAGCAACCCCTTCACTCACCTGTAGGTCCTAGGGTGAGTGGCTGGCTCGCCAGTGAGGACGTGCCCCGTGAGGGTCTCCTGTCCTCCTTTTGCGGTTCCAAGGCATTCCACCTGGTTACCCTGGCCATCCCTCACCTCCCCCGGCTTGCACAGGCTGCCACCATTATAAGCTGTAGACACTCAGCCAGTCCTGTGCTGAATGGTAGGAGTCAGATATATATATATATATAATATAAGGACGCTCCTGGTCTTTTGAGAATTCCCACCTCCAAAAGTAGCTTGGGGGCTGCCTCAGGTGGTCCATGTTCCTCCCCTATGGGGGCCTACATGTTACCAGCTCTGCCCCACCACCAGGGCTAGATCCTTTGGGACCTCACCGTCCCAGCCACCTCCTTACACTGCACCCTTTGGGGGCCCAAGGACATTACTAGTGGGCTGCTAGGGTCAGGGAAGTAGGCAGTATACTATGGTGGCCAGACCACTTGGGGGTGGTTTTGAATAACCCAGACATCTGGGCTCCAGCATCAGACCTGCTGGACCAGACCATCTGGGGAGGAGTCCAGAAAACTGGCTCATTAAAAACCTCCCCCAGAAGTGTGACAACAGGAGGTAGGAGATGGTGCAATCTGAGGTGCCCCACCTCCCCTATAAAGTTCACTGACCAGAGATGTTTCATCTGAATTTAACACACTTTAAGTAGTAAACTTTGGTTACCTGGGAAACATGAGGGATAGAGGAACGAACCAATGGCACTATAGGGAACAAACTGGACACTTTCAGAATATAAGACACTCTGAAAGACTACAGGCCTTAACTCTTCAAAAGGTCACTGTCAAGGGGCTGGGGATTTAGCTCAGCGGCACAGTGCCTGCCTGGCAAGGTTGTGAGTTCGATTCCCGGTACCGGAAAAAAAACAACAAAAAAAAGTCACTGTCAGTTTTTAAAAGCATATGAACAGCAGTTTTTACTTAACAAGCATATCGTATATCACTATATTTTGTCTGCTTCCATCTACTAAAATGTAAGCTACATGAGGACAAGGATTTTGATCCATTTTATTCAGTTATATTTCCAAATCCTAGCAAGCTACCTTAATATTGAATTTATTACTCATCATTTTATTGTATTATTAATTTTAATAAACTAATTTTTTAAAGCATATGGGCACATGGGAGAAATGTTTCCCGCTAAAATGAATCTATGGGACATAACAATCAAATAATTGGAGCTTGGGTTGAAAATCCTATATATAAGGGCATTTGAGGATAACCAGGGAAATCTAAATCATTAGGAATTATTAATCATTTTGTTAACTGTGGGGCTGGGGATTTAGCTCCGCGGCACAGCGACTGCCTGGCAAGCGCAAGGTCGTGAGTTCGATTACTGATACGGGAAGAAAAAAAAAAACCAAAATAATAATAATTTTGTTAACTGTGACGATGGCTTGAGGTCAGGGAGTCAGTCATTCTTACATTTTGGAAATGCAGGGTTCATAACGACTGTAATTTGAAATTGTTCAGCAACTGCATTGTGTGTGTGTGTGTGTGTGTGTGTGTGTCCATACCGGGTAGGGGAGAGACGACGGCGAAACGTTAAAAAATGGTTTCAAGAGGAAGCGCTGGCTCCTCCTTTTTCTACGATTTGTTTGTTTCAGTTTTGAGGACTGACCCCAGGACCCCGCAGCACGCCAGGCGATCGCTCTGCTTGGAGCTACGCCCCCAGCACTGATTAGCAATCTTCTCAATGAAACTGTGGACTGCAACCACAAAAACTGCGACGGACTTGCGGGGACTCCGGCGGGAACCGCGCAGGGCCGCAGC